TTGCGAATGTGAGTGCGAGTTGGATGGATTCGCGCAAACCATAAAACGGCGCAGTTTTATAAGCAACAACAGTGCAATTTTATATGTACGATATTGAAAAAATGACGCAGACAAACTGCATTGCTTTGTTTTGTCTTAAAACATGCCCAAATTCATTAGCGCAGATAATCTGCATCGATTACCCTCTGGGTAGGGAGCTCCACCGAAGACTTAAGTAGGAGGGCCCGCATGCGGTCACTCCACCATTTCGGCACACCCCTCACGAGGAGTTTGGCCAGCTGCGCAAGCTGCGCCAGTTGCGCCAGTTGGTTGTCCCAGTTTAGCGCCAGTTGCACCAGATGTGCCGCTTGCGCCAGTGGGTGTGCCGAAATCCACGGGGGGACGCTCTGCGGACCCTGCCACTGCTGAGACCTGTTGTGCCAGTTGTGCTAGTCGAGCCCCTATTGAGCCACGAAACGAGTGAGCGCTGTGCCGAAAACTTCGGAGTGGCGCTCTGCGCACCCTGCCGATGCTGGGACCTGTTGTGCCGGCTGTTTGAGGCTCGACCCTACCACTGCTTCGGCCTGTGATGCCAGTTGTCGTCGGCCGACGACTCCGACGACTCCGACGACGACGACGACGACGACGACGACGACAACGACGACGACGATGACAGCCACGACTCCGACGACGACGACGACGACGACGACGACGACGACAACTCCGATGACGATGACAACGACGACGACTCCGACGACTCCGACGACTCCGATGATGACCCCGACAACGACGACGACCCCATCGCTGCGATAAGATATGACCACCGCTGCGGACACAGTCCGGGCCTAGCTGAGACTAGGTGGGCGAGGCAGTGGTCACAGAAATGTAACGTGTCTGGAGCCGCAAAGGCTGAGATAGGACACGGGAAGGGGGAGCCGCAGCAGATGCAGCGGCACGGGTAAGAATAAAAATATGAAGAAGAAGAAGCTGATGATGAGGACGAAGAAGAATAATAATAAGACAAAAAGCAGAAGTCGAGGAAGAAAAAAGAGGAGGGGAGCGCGAGCATGCACAGAAGGGGCGAACGCCTCGGGAGAGAGGACCCTCGGGAGAGAGGGCCCGCAGAGAGGGAGAGCGCAAACTTACTGTCAGTTGACCGCGCGGTTCGCGTTCCGTGCTCCTGCTCTGCGTTTCCCGGCCGCGCCGTCCACGAGCGCAATATAGAAATATCAGATCTCAGTTGCGTTCGCGTTTCGTGTTTCGTGTTTTTTCGTTGGCTTTCATGGCTATGCCTTCCAAGAACGCGAACTGAAAGTCTTAGTTGCGCTCGTGTTCCGTGCACCGTGCTCCTGCTCTGGCTTTCCCGGCGGCGCCGTCCAGCAACGCAGAATCGAAGTCTCACGGTCACCTCTGCAAGCTCCACGGGTGGCCCTCTCGCTCGCGCACTCGATCGCTGGCGGGCGAGCGAGCCGGCGGGCGTGTCGACGACGACGAGTGCGAGCGGCGGCGTTCACAGCCGAGCGCTGCCGTCGAAGACCTTGGGCGGCCGTCGTTTCGTCGCCGTCGTCGCCGCTGCCGCCGCCGTCGTCTTCGCCCAGGCGCCGCCGCCGTCTCCGCGCCGCGTCGCCTCCGCCTCCGACTGCGACGTGCACTTCTCGGGGCGCGGAGACGGAAAGCTAGCGTGGCCTCCGATCGACAAGATTGGAGGCCACGACGAGAAGGGGGAGGAGGAACAGGAGGAGGAGGAGGAGGGGGGGGAGGAGGAGGCCCCAAGGAACGAGCGCAGCGCTTCCTACACGCGACCTGCTAGTGCTCCTGCCTCGGGCGGCGGTTCCAAGACGAGCCTGTCCTCCGTCAGGAGCTCCGGGTCGAATGCCCCGCAGCAGCCGCCGAGCGCCATCGCGTGGCACCCCACCCCCGCATTGACCAACACCGTCTTCAGGCCCCCAGGAGCGGAACCGACCTCCCGCCGACATTGGTCCCACAGGCCCCCAGGGAATTGAAACGTGGCTTCAAACACGGTGCCCCCGTGGCCTTGGGAGTTAGAATTACCACTCGACTGCTATCGGCCACGGGGGGCTGGCTCATATTCGGAGAGGGGCTGTCAGACACCAACCAGCCACCAGTGGAGGGGGGCAGGGCGTCAGCGCCCGCCGCCCCGAGAAGCACACCCCGACTCTCGTCGAGCTGTGGCTGCGCCAGGGGGGGGGGGGGGGCAGGGCAAGGGCCGCCAGAAAGACCACCATGTGGGCCTTGGCCCTCGCAGGTGGGGAACTGACGTTTGCCTGCCTGTAAAGCGGCCGTTGCATCCTGAACGTTGGCAGGGGCAAAGCAGCTTTCATCAGCCCATGGGTCTGGCCCATCTGGCCAGCCATCCACCTCGCAGTCGAAATCTGGGTCGATACTAGGGGACGGGGCCCGCGTGGCTCCTCCCTCGTTCTGGTGAAGCTTGCTTGGCTGCACACAGCCCCCGAACATTTCGCGAAACCTAGCAGCTCGATTTTCGGCGGCAGCCCTCTTTTCAGCCTCCAGACGAGCCCAACTGGTGGATGGGCCACCCATCCTTCTTTGCAGGCGACCGTCTGGGAGGCCTCTGGGGGGCCTCTTGGGCCGTCTTGGGCCGTCTTGGACTCTCTTGGGCCGTCTTGGAGGCCGTCTTGGACCATCTTGGGCGGACTTGGAGGCCATCTTGGGCCATCTTCGCGATTTGTTGAGGATGTCCCGAGCGAAGCGGCCGCTTCAGGGAGGAGTGTTCGTGGAGTTTGCGCTCCTGGGCAATCCTCCCGGTACCCCAGCGGGACGGGCCGAAACCCATTGGGAGAGTTCTTTTGGAAAAAGAACCAAAACCAAAACCGAGAGGGTCCAGCACGCTGGGCACCCTTGCGATGAATCGACAGGGGGCGGCGGATCGAAGACGCCTACGGCGAACCACCGCCGCCCCCCGCCTTTTTGGAAGCGCCTATGTGGCCGAACGTTGAGGCCAGACCTGCCAAGCCATCGGACCATGTTCCCCGAATCGGTTTGGAAAGCCTTGGGGGAACACGTGGGCATCTTGAAGGTCATCTTGGCCGTCTTGGAGGCCTCTTGGGCGATCTTTCGGCGATCTGTGGGGGCTCTTGGGCCGTCTCGGGCCGTCGGAAGGCCGAAAAGAAGGAAATGTCAAAATCCGTCAAAAACCTTAGGAACATCAATGTTTTTGGCCTCTTGTGGCCTTCCTGGAGGCCCTCTTGGGGGCCTCTTGGGCCGTCTTGGGCCAGCTTCGCGGCAACTTCGGCCATCTTGGTGGGTTCCTGGCACGTCTGACGCCGTCGGGAGCCGTCTTAGGGGGCCTTTCTTGGCCAACGGGGGACCCTCTCGGGGCGCTTCGGGGCCGTCTTGGAGGCCATCTTGGGCGTGTTGGAGGCCTCTTGGGCCGTCTTGGGGCCCTCTTGGAGCCATCCTGGAGGCCACTTGGGCCGTCATGGGGCCCTCTTGGGGGCCTCTTGGGCGATCTTGGGGCCCTCTTGGGCCGTCCTGAGCCGTCGGAATGCCGAGAAGAAGCAAATTCCAAAATCCTTCAAAAACCTAAGGAAAATCAATGATTTTGGCCTCTTCGGGCCCTCCTGGAGGACCTCTTGGAGGCCTCTTGGGCCGTTTGGGAGGGCTCTGGGGCGCCTCTTGGGTCGCCTTGGGCCGTCTTGGACACTCATGGGCCGTCTTGGAGGCCGTCTTGGACCATCTTGGGCGGACTTGGAGGCTATCTTGGGCCATCTTCGCGATTTCTTGAGGATGTCCCGAGCGAAACGGCCGTCTCAGGGAGGATTTTTCGTGGAGTTTGCGCTCCTGGGCAATCCTTCTGGGACCCCAGCGGGACGGGCCGAAACCCATTGGGAGAGTTCTTTTGGAAAAAACCCAAAACCAAAATCGAGAGGGTCCAGCACGCCAGGCACCCTTGCGATGAATCGACAGGGGGCGGCGGATCGAAGACGCCTGCGGCGAATCACCGCCGCCCCCTGCCTTTTTGGAAACGCCTATGTGGCTGAACGTTGTGGCCAGAGGCCTGCCAAGGTATCGGACCATGTGTTCCCCGAATCGGTTTGGAAAGTGTTCGGGGAACACGGTGGGGGAGGAGGAAGGAGAGGAGATGGAGGAAGAAGGAGAAGGGAGGAGGAGGCCTCTTTGGAGCCTCTAGGGCTACTCTAGGGTTTTATTGGGCCATCTTTGCGGCCTTGGAGGCATCTTGGGACTGTCTTGGAAGCCATTTTGGGGCTGTATTGGGGCTTCTTGGGGCCATCTTGGGAGGCCTCCTTGGCCTTCTTGTGCGATGGCGCTGAAATTTATCATTTGCACAAACTTGGTGGGACAACGGACTGCATTGCTTACTCAGTGACCAGAAAATAGCATGAGGAAATAATCGGAGCCAGTCGATGGAGGCAGTGTTGGGTGCATCTTGGGCGTTGTTGGAGGCGGAGCTTGACCAAGCCATCGGACCATGTATTCCCCGAGTCTCGCCTCGACACCTTCGGGGAACACTTGGGGGGAAAAGAGACGGAGAAGGAGAGGGGGGAAACAGCAGGATGGAACAGGAAATTGTTGAAAGTTTCTTGGGGCACTTTTGGGCTTTGGGTGCTTTGTTGGAACTTCCTTTGGACCTTTTGAATGCTTCTCGGGAGGCCTCCTTGGCCTTCTTGGGGACCTCTGGGGACTCTTTGGGGGAGTCTTTGGTCGTCTTAGAGCGTTCCTGGCCCATCTGACGCCGTCCGAGACCGTCTTTGAGGCCTCTCGGAGCCGACTTCAGGCCCTCATGGGCCGTGTCAGGGCGGTCTTCGAGGCAGTCTAGGCGTCTTGGAGGCCTCTTGGGTCGTCTTGAGGCCTTCTTTGGACGAACTGGAGGCATCTTGGACTCTCTCGGGCCGTCTTGGAGGCCATCTTGGACCATCTTGGGCGGACTTGGAGGCCATCTTGGAGGCCATCTTGAGCCGTCTTGGGGGATTTTTCTGGGATTGAGCTCCTGGAGCTCCCTTTCGGGTAGCCGGCGGGACGGGCCGAAGCGCCAGGGGGAGTTCTTCTGGAAAAAGAACCAATACCAAAAGCGGAAGGTCCGAAGATTTTGGCTCAAGGTTCCGAGGGGCCGTCGCCGGCCTCCTAGGGCTCCACTCGGGCGTCTCTCGTTCCTCTCATTTTTTGAGCTGTGCACATCTGCAGACGGCATGATGCGCCTGCGCACGTCTCACAGCGTCGGCGCGCTGCTCCTGCTGCTGGCAGCGCGCGGCGCCCCGAGTGCCGGGTCGCCGGCGAGCGGGACGCTGGCCCGCCCGAGGCTGGAGGCCTCGGCGAGCGGTCGCCCTCGCGAGCCGCAGGCCGAGTTCGGGAGGCGCCAGGCTACCAGCGGCGCGCAGTTGTTGCTCAAGCTCTTGGCGAGTGATGGGGCCGCATTCGACTATTTCGGACGATCGGTGGCCGTGAGCTCCGACGGGGCCCGCGTGGTGGTGGGGACCACCCACGACGACGACTAGGGCAGCAACTCTGGCTCCGTGCAGGTGTTCGACGGTACCACCGGCGCGAGGCTGCTCAAGCTCTTGGCGAGTGATGCGGACTTGAATGACTATTTCGGACGAGCGGTGGCCGTGAGCTCCGACGGGGCCCGCGTGGTGGTGGGGGCCTCCTGGGCCTCCTGGAGCTCTGGCTCCGTGCACGTGTTCGACGGTACCACCGGCGCGAGGCTGCTCAAGCTTGTGGCGAGTGATGGGGCCGCATTCGACTTTTTCGGAGTCTCGGTGGCCGTGAGCTCCGACGGGGCCCGCGTGGTGGTGGGGGCATACTATGATTTTTTTTTTTTTTTTTTTTTTTTTTTCTTTTTTTTTTTATTATTTTTTTCTATCTTTTTTTATTTTTTATTTTTTATTTTTATCTCTTTATATTGTATTTTTTATATTATTTTTGTATTTTTATTTTTTTTGTTTCTTTTTTTTATCATTTATTATTTTTTCTCTTTATTTTTATAGTTATTTATTATATTCTTTCTTTTTTTTTTTTTTTTTTTTTTTTTTTTTATTATTATCTTATGGTCTTGTTTTGATTCGATACTGTTTTTTATGACGGACGACCAGGGCAGGCAATTCTGGCTCCGGGCACGTGTTCGACAGGTAGCCACCGGCGCGAGGCTGCTCAAGCTTGTGGCGAGTGATGGGGCCGAGACAGACCTTTTCGGATTCTCGGTGGCCGTGACCTCCGACGGGGCCCGCGTGGTGGTGGGGGCCTACTATGACGACGACCAGGGCAGAAACTCTGGCTCCGTGCACGTGTTCGACGGCACCACCGGCGCGAGGCTGCTCAAGCTTGTGGCGAGTCATGGGGCCGAGGAAAAGCGTTTCGGACTCTCGGTGGCCGTGACCTCCGACGGGGACCGCGTGGTGGTGGGGGCCTACTATGACGACGACCAGGGCAGTAACTCTGGCTCCGTGCAGGTGTTCGACGGTACCACCGGCGCGAGGCTGCTCAAGCTTGTGGCGAGTGATGGGGCCGAGGAAGACCTTTTCGGACTCTCGGTGGCCGTGAGCTCCGACGGGGCCCGCGTGATGGTGGGGGGGGCCTACTATGACCACGACGACGACCAGGGCAGAAGCTCTGGCTCCGTGCAGGTGTTCGACGGTACCACCGGCGCGAGGCTGCTCAAGCTTGTGGCGAGTGATGGGGCCGCGGAACAGCGTTTCGGACGATCGGTGGCCGTGAGCTCCGACGGGGCCCGCGTGGTGGTGGGGGCCAGCAAGGCCGACAACGACGACGGCATCGAATCTGGCTCCGCGTACGTGTTCGACGGCACCATCGCCACCACCAGGACGGCCACGAGTTCCGCGACGTCAAGCACTACTACTGAGACGACCACCGCGACAACAACTGAGACGACCACCGCGACAACAACTGAGACGACCACCATCAAGACAACCACCGAGACGACCACCGCGACAACAACCTGAGACGACCACCATCAAGACAACCACCGAGACGACCACCGCGACGACCACCAAGACGGCCACGACGACCATTGATACGGGCACGAGTTCGGCCACATCAAACACCACAGCCACCACCGAGCCAGGGGAAGTAATTCAAATTGCAGTCTTGATCTTGGCTGGTGCCTGGATCTTGTTCTTGGGCTGCAGTGTCGCGCTGGGCTGCCTGGTGAGGCGCGGGCTTGTCAGGGGCCCAACACCCTAGCGCGGCATTCACAAAGCCAGGCACCCCTCTGATGAATCAATCGGGGGCGGCGGAAAACGCCTATGTGGCCGAGAGTTGGGCCAGAGCTCGGCCAAGCTATTGGGCCAGAGCGCGGCCTTCCGCATGAAGCCCTGGTCAGCTCCCCGCCAGGCGTTTTTCCGCAATCGGGGAAGCATGTGAGACCTTCTGAGAGTTATCGGTGAAACTTTCTACCAGTTTTGAAGCCCTGGTCAGCTTCCCGCCAGGCGTTTTTCCGCAATCGGGGAAGCACTCGAGACCTTCAGAGATTGGACTGGACTGGAAAAGGCCGCGCGTAGACGGCGCATCGGCAAAAGATTCGGCAATCCAGAATATACAGGGGGTTCCCTAATTACGGGCCCCCCTCGGGATGCCCAGGGATCACATCTTGGACCCCTGCGGGGGCGCTGTTGGAGCGCTCTTGGGCGCTATTAGGGTCGTTTTGGGAGCCATCTCGGGTCTCTATTTGGGATTTTTTCAGGTTTTCTTGGAGCCATCTTGAGGCCTCGGAAAGCCATCGGAAGCGAAAAGACGAGAAAACAACACAAACATTGATATTTTCACTCGTACTCGAGGGATATTGGGCTCTTGGAGGGTCTCCTTGGCAGGCTCCGTGGCTACTTGGAGCTGTCCTGGGGCGGTCTTCGGGCCTGTTGGAGCATCTTGAGAACCATCTTGAGGCATGTTGGGCTATCTTGGAGTCCCTGTTGGCGCCATTTTGGGCCATCTTGGACGCTCTCACCGCCCGCGCCCCCCCCCCATCCCCCGCCCAGGTCCAGGGGCGAGGGGGAGGGGGGGGGCAACCCTCCCCGAAGGGGAAGACGGGGAAAGATGGAAGAGGAAACTCGCCAGACCACCTACGCCCAGGATGGCTGGTGGGGGGGAACCATCCGTATACTTTGCTCAAGTGGCGACCATCTTTGGCCCGTAACTGCCCATCTGCCAAGGCGACCCATTATTGTATGTCCCGTCCGCTCGACCCGACCCGTCCCGCCCGTGAGGGTCCCCCCGCCCGACCCGACCCGTCCGCCCGCCCGCCGGACCCGTCCCGCCCGTTAGGGTACTCGCGTGCCAACTCGATGATGCATCATTCTTTAATGTCCCGCCCGCCCGACCGGACCCGACACGCCCTTCAGGGTCCGCCCGCCCGACCCGACCCGTCGCGCCCGTTAGGGTCCGCCCGAAAAGCCCTCACCGTCGTCCTCGTGGTTGGTGAGGCGTCCTGGCTGTCTCTTCTGCGTATATTTCTTCTCGCCCTGGCGCGGGCCCTCCCCCCGCCACAATCTGACTATTCCTCCGCCCGGGCGTCCGCCCGGGCACCCGGACACCCGGGCGCCGGCCCGGACACCCGGACACCCGGACACCCGGGCACCTGGATAGGGTCACGGGCATGTCGGGGATCAGATTAAGAATGATGAACATGGTTTTCTCATGGTTCTAGGCCGCTTGCGGGCCGTGCGGTGCTGAAGTTGAAAATGGTTCATGGTGGTTTTGAAAATGGCCGCGCGCGGGTTTCAAATAGTTTCGCGTCAAACTAGCAGCTTGGCGCGCCCGCCATTGGAAGGTATGATTACGCGCAACGCGGCCTTCGCTCAGGGGTGCCAGGGCAAGTGGCGCTTGATCCTCCTTCCCACTCTGCCCTGTAGTAGGCGGTACGAGCCAAGGGCGTTTGAGCCTTCTCCGTGCCTCTTCACATGCAGCCCGAGCTCGGCCCTTAAGCGCGCGGGTGTCTTTTGTTGGGCTAGTTGGAACTAGAGGTTGCGTCTCGAACCGAAAGAGCCAACATGTTTTGTCCCACCAATTACCGTTGCTACTGCACGCTGCTGGGGCCGCCGCCCACGAAGGCATCCCCAGGTTCGCGCCGAGTCCGTCACATGTGAAACGTGCTGCGTTTGCAGGCTGGCCCGCGCCGAGTCCGTGGCATGTGAAGGGTTTGACAACTCGGCGCCGCGCCGAGCAAGCCATCGTGCCCCGCCTACCCTCCTTATCGGCAGAAGCAGGGGCGCGTGCAAAAGGGCACTTGTTTAAGTTGTTGTAGTTTTCAAGTTTGTGCCTAGCAGCTCTGCGAAAGTACTGCAGCACGCGCCTGTGCAGTCCATCGTTGTGTGTGTTGGGTAATTCGTTATTTTCCCTCCCCGCTCTGCGGTCGCCGCCCTGGGCGGCCGAATGACGAGAAACTTTGCTCAAACTTGCGCCGCAGGATGTGGAGTGAGAAGATGTGGTACGATGCGGGATCGATTACACATGTCTGCGGTAACTGCATATGCAACAAGGGGACGATTTGGGGAGACTCGTGGCCCGTCAAAGGAGGGGGACCATGAGCAGGAGCAACTGCAACAGGCGTGCGTCTAGGCGCGCGTGGCCTGGCACTCTGCGTCAACGAATGGCACCGTGGGTGACTATAATGTGATTTAGCACCGGGGGGGGCAGCTTGCTCTTCACTGATTTGGTTGTCGTTTTTTTATGGTTTTTTTGTGTGTGTTCTCTTTTGCTGATTCTTTCTGTGCTTGTATTTCTCTTATTGTCTTGTGTTTCTTTTAAATTGCTTGTATTTTTTGGCTTTGGCATTGGCGGTGCGCGCCGCAGGCATCTGGATATCTGGACAAACCGCGGTTGCAGCTGCAGGAAAATCTTCCTGCCCCCGCACTTCCGCTGGCTCGCCAGCGAGACCCCCCTGCTTGTTTTGCGTGCTCGGTCGCGCCCGTGTTTCATGTTGCCCACAGCCACCTGGCACTCCATCTGAGAAATGGCCCCGGCCATGTGTCTCTGGAAAACTGTGTATGGGTCCTTGTTGGTGAACAGCCCCGGGATCGAGGCGTGCGCCAACTCCAAACCTCGCTTTTCGCACTCCGCGATCGCCTCTTCCTGCACCATCAAGCGGCGGGCCAACCGCTTCTCGTCGGGCACCGCGATCCGCTTGATGCCGCGCTTCTCGCACCTGTCCAGGATGGCGGCCACGCCCGGCCTGGACAGGAACGGCGTTGAACCTGGGGGAGCAAAAAAAAATCGACGACAAATTCGGCGCACGATTTTGCAGTACTTCGCCGCGGGGGCGGTGGAAACATGAAGGCGGGGGGGGGGGGCGCTTGCTGTAGCAATTGCGTTGCGTAGCGTCTGGCACGCTAACAAATCCAGGGTTTCTTGCCGATGGGCGATGTTACCTTCGGAAGAGGACGCGACGCGCCGCATTCCTCATCCAATGCCCTTGCGGTGTGTGGGGGCGTTGTGGCCCCGCCGTCCTGGGGCGTTCTTCAAGACGAGCGTTTCCTGGGCGGTGGGGGGGCGCCCCTGGCCGCCTTCGTTATCTGTGCCTTCTGCCGCGGCACGCTGGCGCCACCCACGTTCGTCATCGTCGACGCGCGTGTCGTGGCAGCCGCCTTCATCTTGGCAGGCATGGCGCGGGCGCCAGAAAACGAAACAAACATATGTTGCGCGGTGCCCGAACGCCGCAGGCGCGGCAGATAGGAGAGGGAAGGAGGAGCAGGAGCAGGAACAGGAGCAGGAGGAATACAATTAGGCTGTGGATGGGGACGCGGGGGAAGGGGGGAATGGGGCGAGGAGGGGGGCGAGGAGGAAAATTGGGGGAGGGGGCAGCGAGGAGGAAGGCGGACGCGCGAGGGGGGGCGCGGCCCCCGCCGAGGCTTGAAAACGCTAGAGGGCGGCAGGGGCAACGCCGGCGACGGCGCCGACGAGGGTTGGGGCGGAGACAGAAGGGCGCGCCGGAAGTCGGTCCTGGACCGACTTCCGACGCGGGCCCGCGCCAGAAGTCAGTCCTGGACCGACTTCCGACGCGGGCCCGCGTCGGAAGTGGGTCCAGGACCGACTTCCGACGCGGGCCCGCGCCAGAAGTCAGTCCTGGACCGACTTCCGACGCGGGCCCGCGCCAGAAGTCAGTCCTGGACCGACTTCTGGCACGGCCTGGCGGCCGGCGCCAGAAGTTGGCCGACGGTCCGTGGGGGCCGTTCGAAGGGGGGGCTCTTGCGCTGGCAGGAGCAAGCGGCAGGTCGGCGGCAGTCGGCGGGAGTAGGCGGGGCCCGCCGGCTGAGGGCCCGCCAGAGCTGGCGGAGAGGCGGACGCTCTTGCCAACAGACGTTGGCGGGAGGTCGGCGGCAGCCGGCGGAAGTACGTGCAGCTTGCGGCCGACGGCCCGCAGGAGGCCGCGGAAGCACGTGCAGCCTACGGGCGACGGCCCAGGGGAGGTTCGTGTCGCCCGACAGAAGTCACAAATAGATTGCGGCGGACTGACAGCGGGGGCCGGCGGGGATCCTTGGGGGGCCCGTGGCAACCGGAGGAAGTAAGCGTGGACCACCCAACTGTAGCCATTCGTTGCTTTTTCGGAGCTCAAGCAGCGCGGGGGCAGCTTTTTCTGGACACGCTATCATGGACGCGGCACCCCCCCCACCGTCCAGGAAACGCTCGTCTTGAAGAACGTCCCAGGACGGCGGGGCCACAACGCCCCCACACACCGCAGGGGCATTGGATGAGGAATGTGGCGCGTCGCGTCCTCTTCCGAAGGTAACATCGCCCATCGGCGCGAAACCCTGTATTTGTTAGCGTGCCAGACGCTACGCAACGCAATTGCTACAGCAAGCGCCCCCCCCGCCTTCGTGTTTCCACTGCCCCCGCGGCGAATAACTGCAAAATCGCACGCCGAATTTGTCGTCGATTTTTTTTTTGCTTCCCCAGGTTCAACGCCGTTCCTGTCCAGGCCGGGCGTGGCCGCCTTCGCGGACAGGTGCGAGAAGCGCGGCATCGAGCGGATCGTGGTGCCCGACGAGAAGCGGTTGGTCCGCCGCTTGATGGCGCAGGAAGAGGCGATCGCGGAGTGCGAAAAGCGAGGTTTGGAGTTGGTGCACGCCTCGATCCCGGGGCTGTTCACCAACAAGGACCCATGCACAGTTTTCCAGAGACACATGGCCGGGGCCATTTCTCAGATGGAGTGCCAGGTGGCTGTGGGCAACATGAAACACGGGCGCGACCGAGCACGCAAAACAAGCAGGGAGGTCTCGCTGGCGAACGAGCGGAAGTGCGGGGGCAGGAAGATTTTCCTGCAGCTGCAACCGCGGTTTGTCCAGATATCCAGATGCCTGCGGCGCGCACCGCCAATGCCAAAGCAGCTCCCCCCCCCCCGGTCGCCCATAATCATTATAGTCACCACGGTTTTTCTTTGGCGCGGTGCCGGGGCCACGCGCGCCTAGACGCACGCCTGTTGCAGTTGCCCCTGCTCATGGTCCTCCTCCTTTGACGGGCCACGAGTCTCCCCAAATCGTCCCCTTGTTGCATGTGCAGTTACCGCAGACATGTGTAATCGATC